GCTGGTGCAACCACTCTGGAGAACAGTATGGAGGTTCCTCAAAAAGTTGAAAATAGAGCTAACATATGACCCAGCAATTGCACTACTGGGTATTTACCCCAAAGATACAAATGTAGAGATCCGAAGGGGCACATGCACCCCAATGTTTATAGCAGCAATGTCCACAATAGCCAAACTATGGAAAGAGCCAAGATGTCCATCAACAGACTAATGGATAAAGAAGATGTGGTATATATATACGATGGAATATTTTGCAGCCATCAAAAGGAATGACATCTTCCCATTTGCAAGGACATGGATGGAATTAGAGGGTATTATGCTAAGTGAAATAAGTCAATCAGAGAAAGACAAGTATCATATGATCTCATTGATATGAGGATTTTGAGAAACAAGACAGAGCATCATAGGGGAAGGGAGGGAAAAGTGAAACAAGATGAAACAAGAGAGGGAGACAAACCATAAGAGACTCTTAATCTCAGGAAACAAACTGAGGGTTGCTGGAGCGGAGGGGGGTGGGAGGAATGGGGTGGCTGGGTGCTAGACATTGGGGAGGGTATGTACTATGGTGAGCATTGTGAATTGTGTAAGACTGATGAATCACAGACCTGTACCTCTGAAACAAATAATACATTGTATGTTAATAAAAAATAAATAAAAAAAAAAGATTTGTAGCTGGACATTTTTGTTCACTGATGTCTCTGGCAACACTAGTAACTTCTGGATATAAAGGGGCCATATTCTCAGGAAAGAAGTTAGGTACTGCACCCCTGTTTTATTTCTGACTTCACAAGTGACTTTTTGTCATTGTAATATCTCTTTCTCTTTCTAGCACCGAGTGGATTTTCTTCAGCTGATGATTAACTCCCAGAATTCCAAAGAAATAGACACCTATAAAGGTAAGTAAAAAGAGGTTCAGATGGCTCTTGATGGGGCGGTTCAGAGACAGGGGGTGGTTCTGAGATATATGGAAGATTTTTAGCAGATGGAATATTAGAAAATCAAAGAAAGACACGTGTTCAGATACAAATGGTAGCCAGAGCATTTTTCAGAAGAACACAGCCACAGTTTGTTCATAGCTTGAAGGGCAATGATAGACAAAGCTGTCATTGGTCTGCTGTGAGCTTGTTTCCAATGTCAGTCCTCCAGCCTAATCCAGATCCACTGAATCAGACCCTCAGCCTGGAAATTCACATCAAGGCTCATCACATCAGGAGGTACCTGACCCCAGTGTTGGTGACCTTCACTTGGAACACCTGGTTAAACATGTGTTCACTGGCTTAATCTATTCCAAGTTTTTTTTTCCTTTTGTAATTAAGAAGTAACTAGTGCAGGATGCCTTTGTGACTGTGCACATATGGTGTTTGTCTTTAAACCATCACCTACTACTTTTACCATCCATGGATGGTATTTGACTAAAAGCATTACTACTGTGATGGTTGTAAAATTATGACTTTCTACTTCCACCATTTCTTCAACATTTGGAGTGATAGTCCATTGTTAGGGTGAGCTTTCCATTCATCATCATTATTATATTTGTTTATTTATATATACCAGTATGATCTTAATATTACTAACTTAGTCTCTTACATCATTTTTAAAATTTAGATTGTCAGTGCTTTCAGATTTGTCCTTTAGAAGCCATTTTAAGTGGGTTCCTATACCCCTTTTTTATTCTTCTTCTTTTTTATGTTTTCTATAGACTTTATTTTTTATTTTAGTTTTATGTTTGCTGCAAAATTGAGTGAAAGACACAGAGATTTATCCCATATTCCTTCAGCCCCACCTACATATAGCATCTCCCACTATCAAAATCCCTCACGATGTGGTAATTTTTTTACATTCAATGCCCCAACAATGACAGATTATTACCACCCAAAATCCATAATTTAAATTACAGTTCACCCTTGGTGTGGTACATGCTATGGGTTTAGATATATGTATAATGATGTATATCCACCATTACAGAATTTATTTTCTGAGCATTTCCTTGCATTCTAGTGTGAGACATTCCAGGTTTCTCTTCTGTTTCCCCTGGTGAGCCCTGGACTCATCCACTTCTCCGAGAAACCCTGTTTCCTTTTAGTGAGAAATGGTATTTAGAAAGCAAAATCTGGGATCTAGGAGTGCTCGTTGCTACAAGGGTTTCTTTGTTTCTATTTCCTCTCAGTGGGCCAAACAAAGAACATCAAATATATTTACACAGGACTGATGAAGATAAATATTTCTATATCCATAACCAGTGATGTAATTATGGTCTCTGCATCTGAAAGAAAAAGGGAGTCTTGATTTATAGTTGTTTCTATGACCAAAATATTCACATTGTGGTCAATTTCAAGCTGTCTATGGTTTGACAACCATCTCACAAAATTCTTAAATATATAACAGTTGATTCTAGAGAAAAACAATGGGCTTACTCTATCACACCACTAGTATATAATATATATATATATATATATATATATATATAACTATGTCTACTTTTATTCTATCTAACCATCTCTTACCTATCTAGTTCTACTACTTTCTGTGATGAAGGAAATATTCTATATATGCTTGGTTCTGTACAGAACCACTACAAACATGTGGTTATTGAGCACTTGACATGTGACTAGTGTCACTGAAGATCTGAATCTTATATTCTATTTAATATAACTAAGTAAAACTTAAATATGAATAGCCACATCTGGCAAGTGGCTACCTTATTGGACAGCACAGCTCTAAAGTTTAATTATCATGGGGTTCATGGTAATCGAGAGCAAGAATCTGATAGTTGAATTTATCCACAGCAAACTCACAGAAAGTATGAGTGGGAAATCAGAACTCTATAGACCTTTCTTACACTTTTTAATTGTCTTTAGTTGTGAATTATGTGTTTGTGGCAGGGGCCATGTTCATTTCAGTGCTCTACGTATCCAAATGTCCTGATACAGTTCCGATCAAAGAGATTAGAGCATGACCATGCTGTGTTTCTGCCAGGAGAAAATCAGAGATGCCAACTTATATTCAGAGTGGGGCCGTTCACTAAGGAAGGTGACTGATTCAGGCCATGATTGAATAGGCATTGCTAATTCCATTCACTGCATTCAGTTTGTCTATATTTCTTGCCAGCCAGTACCCTGCTATTGACACATTCTTTCTTCTGCTCCTTTAATGGCATGGATTATCCTAGTTCTATCGCCACTCTTCTCACGTTGTCTGTGTCATAGTTTCTGTACATATTGGAGACCATCCACTTGAGAAGTTGTATGCCAAGTCTTCTATTAGCTGAGACCTCAGAAAGGTATAATCTGTGCTTCTCGAGATAGGTTGTGTACACAAATCACCACATCTCATGAAAGGTCAGATTTTGATTCGATACTTTTAGGGTGAAGTTTGAGATTCTGCATTTCTAATAAGCTCCCAGATGCTGCGGATGCCACACTTTGAGCAGCAAGAGTTCATCTGTAGCCCAATTGTGTTCTCTTAAGTTCCAACAAATATGTTTAGATGAAAGATCATTCATTTTTCCTGACAATTAAGCCTTAGCATTGCAAACTCTCTAATGAGATTTAAGTTCTGTTTAAGCTGGAAGGATTTATATTTTCCTGGGGGAGAATGTTATCCCATGTGACTTAGGACTGAAGTCCTTTTAGGATTCTGGATACTGAAAACCCTGTGTACATTAGACAGAAATGCTAGCTCCTGAAATTACCTATTTGTGTTGGTGGAGAGGGTGGCATAAGCAGGAGCAGATGGCCAAGAATAGTATAGACCATGGGAATAACCAGATCAAGACAACTTCTGGCTTTTCTGGCTCTGAAAGGTAGACATCAGAGTGCAAACCACTGTGAGTTTGATTCTGAATTGCTTTTACATTTTTCCCCAAGGGAATTGGGAGTTTCCAATAAATTTCTTATCATCTAAACTGTGATGTTTTATGTTCACCTGCTCTAGCTAAAATGTCTTTGCTTCTTTTAGCTCTCTCTGATCTGGAGCTTGTGGCCCAATCTATTATCTTTATTATTGCTGGCTACGAGACCACTAGCACTTCTCTTTCCTTCCTTGTGTATGAACTGGCCACTCACCCTGATGTCCAGCAGAAACTGCAGGAGGAGATTGACGCGACTTTCCCCAATAAGGTGAGCGGTACCTACCTGAAGAGGGAGTCAGGATAGGCTTGGTTATGTCTCAGTAACTGATTAGCCCTCAAACCAAGTGGGTTTTCGTAAAAAGGTTTACTTGTAACTCACATTAGCATGTCCAACGTGGGGGTGAGTCAGCTTCATAGAGTTATTCAGTGATACAGGGGAAAGAGGCTTCACTTTCTTATACCTGCATTATCTGGAACTTGGGACTAATTGTTGGCTGGGGAACAAGGAACTAGAGTGTTGCTCACTTGCTTTTCAAATGTCTGGCCCCAGAAAGGACTGGCATGATATCTTCAGAGCACTACACGAGAAAAATATGCAGCCAAGAATACTATATCCAGCTAGGCTGTCATTGAAAATAGAAGGAGAGATAAAAAGCTTCCAGGTCAAACAAA